GTTGAAAAATAAATTAGTGTTGTTGGATGATATTAAGTTAGCACTCACATCCGCAATCAATTGATCCAGAACAGGAAGAGCAGGGCCTTCTTTGAAATCAATTTTATCAGCAACACCATGTTTCTTGATGGTAGGCAAACCCAGTTCATAATTTTCCCGGTTGATGTCCATGGCCAATATCTGAAACATTATTTTTTACATATAAAATCCCAGTTAATTGAAATGATATCATTTTAAGTTTCTTTTTAAAATTTTTTTAAAATATTTAAGCAATAAAATCCAATACCTTGCCGTCCTCTGGGATAGCAAGGGCAGTGGCGAGAAGAGAGTAGCCAGTGTAAACTCCAATCTCCATTGTGTTCTTTGCATTGATAAGCTTAAGTAGCAAGCTTAGGAATTGCCCTCCTTCTGGTGGTGTCGCCATGATGTTCCTGTTTTTCAAGTATCAATAATTTGCATTTATCAAGACAGGAGGGATGAAAACAAAAATTGTAACATGATGAAAATTAAGGATGAGTACCATTGGTGTTTTGTGGTCAGCTCCCTGAGCTCCTTCAAGGCTTCAGGCTCTCTAGGAAGGACGCTAGTCTCAAGTATGTACTGCATTAAAAAAAAAAAAAATGGACATACATGTAAAACTATGTGTTTGCATCATTTAATTTTCATTGATGAGGAAGTTGATGAAGATCAACTTACATAGAAAAGAGCATCGCTCTGCAGCAGACTTTTGGGGCGGTTGTTCTCTTGCATGTAGGAAGAGAATGCTGATACTTCGGCTGCCAATGTGTTCTTGTCGAACTGAGGTACAACATCTTCTTGCTGATTGAGAGCCATTAGTTTCTGAAATTGATGTCGATCCTTCTGAGTTTTGTTCCTCCTGTTGTTATTATTGTTGCTGCTTTTAGACGTTTAAGCTTAGCAGGGGCTGTATATAAAGGACGCCCACCTCGCGGTAGGTAGAACAAATAAAATTCAGGGTTAATGCCATCTACAGTCCCTATACTATCAAAAATAGTGCATTCTAAACCTTCTACTATGAATTAACTTTATGTCGTCCCTCTACTATTAATTAACTCAACCTGTCGTCCCTCTACAATGCAAAACCATGCTAATGTCGTCCCTCCGTCCAATATAAGCTAACGGTATTGTTTATTGACTGTTAAGTGTAAATGGTCAAACTAGTTAGGCTTTTTTTATTTTTCTTTTTTGGTTGCTACCCTTGTTTGTGGGCCCCACCATTGCAAAGAAAAACTGTTTTTTTTTTTTTTGAACATGAAGAAAAACAGTTTTATTCAAGGATAACAGATAAATTAAATTCTACAAGAGATCTATTATGTAAATCATAAATAAATACTATTCCTAACCATTTGGTGTTTCTTTTTTCCATTTTAATTATTATTATTTTATTGTGGTTTGTTTGTTCTTCCTCCTTCCTTAACCTTATTTTATTTGTATTTTACATTGATTCAAATAAACATATGATTTATTTTTTGAATTTAAGAAATTAAAGATTATCATTAAATATTTAAGTTGTTAATCTATTATACATAATTAGTTCAATTATCACCAAAAGTTATCTCATTGCACTAAATCTATATGATAGATTTAAAGTTTATTTGGCCTAATAAATAAAAACTTTAGATAAGTAATAGAAAAAAAAAATAATTCGCTGTCAAACTTGAATAATTTATAAATTGTGAAGAAATTTTAACAATCCTACTATAGAGATTCTTTGTTAATTTGTGAACAAAAATAACTTTTACATAGAAAAATTATTAAGCAGAAAAACAAAAGAGAAAAAAAAAAAATCCTTATGTCATTATTGTAGTGGAATTTCTAAAATTGTAAATAAAGAAAAACAAGAAGAAACATTTGGTTACTGAAGCAAAATATGATGATAAATCTCTTATTATTCAAATTCTTACAAAAGATGGTAACTTTAAGAATCTCCAAAACAAAAGATGCTTAATCTGCAGCATCGCAAGCAGCCAAAATTATTTTGAATTTTTTTTTTAGTCAACTGCAGCAGGCGGCTGAGCTCACCCTCGCTTCTCCTCGTCAAATTTCATTGCCGGAAACTTCAAATCCATCCTAAAACCAAAACGGAATCCAATTTTTCGTTCTGATTCCGATTGTCTTCCACGATTCCCTGTGATTTCTTAGGGTTTTTGAAAAACCCTACCAGTAATCCGCATGGCTCGTAGATTCCTCTTCAGGTGACCGCACATTCAACTGCTTTTTCCTGTTAAAACTTGGTGCCGAGATCAGGGCCTCCCTGAGAGGAAGGGACAGAAGTGAAAACTGGAGGAAGAAATTAAAGAGGAGCCGGAGATTTCCCAGATTTTTTATTTAGGGAATTTTTATTTAGGGATTCAGATGGTATTCAGATGGGTTTCGAAAGGAAGAAAGAAATTGGGGATTTCTGATTTGGGTTTCGAAAGAAAGGAAGAAACCTAGATTTTTGATTTGGGGATTTTGATTTAGGGATTCAGATGGGTTTTCGAAAGGAAGAAAGAAATTAGGGAAAAGAGAGTGATTTGGGGATTTCTTATACGTTGTGAAAGATGATGTGGCGAGAGATGATGTGGCAACGGGAGGGGCCCCAAACAAGGGTCACAACCAAAAAAGAAAAATAAGAAAGTCAAACTGGTTTGACTGTTTACACTTAACTGTTAATAAACAACATCGTTAGCTTACATTGGACGGAGGAACGACATTACTTGATTTTGCATCGTAGAGGAACGACAGGTAAAGTTAATTAATAGCAGAGCGACGACATAAAACTAATCCATATTAGAAGATTTAGAATGCATGATAGTAGAGGCACAATAGATGCCTTTAACCCTAAAATTCAAAGCCAATCTTCCAGCAACCAGCCTAGCCAGCAGATGACTACTTTTATTTTCATAATTGATAATTGGAAAAGACAAAGACGGCGGATACGATTATTATTATTATTGTTATTATTATTATTATTGATGAGGGGAGGATAAGATTATTTATGTATATATATAATATTTTAATTGTATAATAAAA